CCCTTGGGATCCTCTCCAAGTAGTCCTGCTCAATCAGTGATTGCCTGCTACTGTAATTAGTATGCTTTTTGGGCCACTTGGGCTCACGGTTTCCTTGAGACGACACCTAGTGTCGAACTGATCGTTTCGCATGGAAACAGTGCGCTACGCATGTTGGGATTCTTTTTCTTGGGTCTTCTTTTGCCTACCTAGTTGCGTCCTTGCTACTAGTAGTAGTAAGGCCAGGAGCCTCTAGTAGCGTCCTTGCTCCTAGTAGCGATGCCCTTTGTTCCTAGTAGCTAGCCGCATGCGATCCTTTTTTGGCAATAATGTCCAGCTAAGTTAAGTTGTGTTGGTTGCGGAGGTGGAACCGTCGGCAATCGCTTCTTGGTGCCCTGGTGACCATTTGGGGGGCCCAACGTCTGCAGACCAACACAGCAAGCAGCAAGATGTGGCAAGAGAAGGCAGGAGAACCATTGAGTCCTCAGAATTATATATATATAATTATCGATGACTTGATGGAGCAAGCGGTGCTTCAAAATTGCGTGAGCTACCTTGATAAGCAGGAACGACTGAGGAAGAGGGCGGAAACAAGCGTGCGCAGCAGGCACATCGGAAAGAGAGTCATGCTCAGCTCCATCGAAGGGGTGTTCGGAACAAGGCGCAAACTTGACTTTTGGCTTGGACCAGCAACTTCATGGTGCATTGGATGTAGATGCATGTAATTAGAATTCTTGACGCGGCTTTCCTGGATCAAGCATGCTTTTCGCAATGCACAATTTCTGAGTCTAAGCGGTCAGGATTGTGCCGCACTGGTCGTTGCAGCATGCAGAAGCACAGTACCATTGCTAGGTAGAGCTTGTATCGGCTGCTTTAGTTGTATTCGGAGCGGTTGCGGTTAAAAAGTCCTTCGGGCCATGACATTGGATGTCAAAAAATGGCTCTTTTCATATCTGGGTGCAAAATGGTGCAAATATATTCAAGTTGAGCCGTTGAACCTGAGCATGGACTCTTGCAATCTCAGCCGGCAACACCACATAACTTCAGCCAAATCCAACACAAAGCCGCCTGCGATGGCTCAAGGCCATGATCGCCCAGCTCGCTTTGCGGGTTGAAGAGGCGTTTGCAGATCCTGCAGGTCGAATGGTTGGGCCTGCACCTCAGCATGCGAATCACACCAAGACTGAAGCATTTGATATTATATAATTATATATAATTATATATATTTGATTGAAATAGATTTGTCGCCCATTTCGATGGACATCCATTCTCTGGCACCTTTTGATTCTTCTCAGCCAGCTTGCACGAGATGTCCTCCAACAGGTCACACACCACTCAACTCTTTACAATGGTCCCTTGCCAAGGAATGGCTGGTGGAGAGTGCCTTGAGTACCCCGCCAGTGTGTGGTGCTCGGCCCAGCTCTTCCACCTGCATTCGTGCTCGCTGAGACTGAGGATTTCACAGAGAACCTCCACGTAGCTTTGCCGCAACCTAGCCGGGCCCATGAGGCAGACCTTTGGCCCCAATGCGTCGCTCTTGCATAATGACTGTAATAACTGACTTGTTGATCCCGCATCCTGTGCGGGAGGTTGAGGGTGGGCAGCGGCTTCTCAACCTGGTGCCTGCACCCACCTGGGAGTAACTTGGCCCGACTGAAACAGCCTGGCGCTAAAATACACTGGGCAGAATTGCACTGCACACAAGGTGTGGCAGAAGAACAGCTGGATCCTCAGCACTCGCAGCCCTGTTTGACAATGGAAGTGGGAAATGAACAATAATACACACAGCAAATGGAATTATATTTATATATAGCACAATTGCGCAATATCCGATATCATCTCATGTGTCCAAGGCGCGCGTTTGGGAAGCTGGGTGCGACGAACTCGATGCTTTGACGGATCAACTGTTTGGTGGAAAGTTTGGGTGTGCGTCGTTAGGTATGCATTGTCCCCAGCCACTGAGAATTGGGCGCGGCACGTGCGAGAGGTGCATGCCTTCGGGATTGCTGTGCCACTAAGAACTGAGAGGTAAATTTGCATTCACTCCAAGGCACACCGCACCCGCCCCGCTTTAGCAGTCGGGTTCGTGGGTGCTACATCTGCTGGAAAGAGTTGGCTTGTCGGGCTCTTTAGAGGAACGGAACACTGGAAAGTGTGTGTCATGGCATATGCAGGATACAAGCAGTGTCCAGGAATACAAGTTTTAGGTCAGCAAACTGCAAAGTGATGGTGCTGCTCAGCCAGCCAGACTCGAGCAGAGTTTTGTTGGAGGCACCTTGGAGGTGAATTGCAATCCTAGATTGGTACTGTCCTTCCGGTTGATTGAGAGATGCAGGGGTGGACTTGCAATCTATGACTTCGGACATCAATTTGTACATGGATCCCGCTGCAAGCCTAGACATCAAGAGTTGCACGAATGGCAACCAGCAATTCCGGCACAAGCGCCCTGAAAAAGTGATGAAAGCAAGGCCGTTGCATGATCTCGGCTTCAAAACTCAGGTTGACCATCTATACTACGTGGACTTTGAGGGGTGCCAGCCCCGTGGAGGAGAGTGAAGCAATTGAGATTCGATCTTTCAAGGACCTTTGGCACCCTTCCATTGCAATACTATGCTGCGGACATGGCGAAGGTGTGCTGCTGATTTTAAGGATGCCCAGCGAATGCTTAGCTTGCTCTCACCGGCTCTCGCCCCTGAGGTAGTGCAAAGATGTGCTGACGTGATGTCTTGGGAGTCTAAGAGACGGCAGGAGGGGCTTCGAAGTGCGAGGGTGTCGCAGACATGCCTGCTCCATCCGCTTCCGTCTTCCAAAAGGTGCTCAAAGAATCTTTTCAACCAGCTGTGGCATACCTCATGTGCGATGCTGCGCGCTCAGAATAGATGTAAACGTGATTAAAGAAACATGATTCACAATGATATGTAATTAGCGTTGTCAGAGATTGACGCTTTTTTTTAGAAAAGTGTCCTCTCCCTCAGTTGCACTTGCCAGAAATTGAGGTTGTAGTGTTTCTGACGCGGGAGAAGCTCGTTTGCCGCAGGGCATTGGAGGAGAATCACCTGGTCCAGGATGGTAACACAGTTGCTAAGTTACTAAATGAGGGGTCCACCGATGCAACATCCATGGGTGTTTTTTGCAGCAAGGGTGCGTTTAGTAAACATTTACTGTAGTGGGAGCAACGTTTCTTGAAATTCTCGACTTTCTAGGAACTACTTCAACGCCAAACAGTTGCCTAGAGCTTTTAACTGTGTGATCCTTTATTTATATAACTCGATTACTGGAAAAAATAACGCCATATTGAAGTGGTTCCTTTCCCTTCCAACATCATTTGTTTATACATTACCGATTCTTCACTTGTCAACTTGTAAGATGTCCATCAACTTGTCAACGACGGTTCGGTCACTGCAGATAATTGGGGCCACGGTCACAGAGTCACAGCGGTTGGGGGACCTTCGGGATCTGAATCCGAAAGGTCGCCTAGGAATAAAGGCCAGGTCAGCGGACTTTCCGTTTCACTTTGTGAACACCCAATTACTATTATTCATTCATTTGTAATAGTATAAATTAGTCATAATGATTGTAGAATAAGGATGATTTCGCAGGGGGCAATTTAAGAACCAATTATCGAACAACCGAGTTTTTGCGGCGGGGCACTCGGAGAGATACAGGGAACTCGCCTCAATACTACTCGGGTTAACAGTTGGAACTTGGAAGCCATGTGAGAGTTTTGGTTCTGGGATGGCTAAGCAGAATAACAACAAAGGGGCTAGTAGGTCCGATTTTGTGGTGCCCGATGATTGTTTAAGGCCATGACAACCCAAACACTTTGATCGAGCTACCAGGAGTGTGAGCAATTTGCTCGTGCGGCCAATGCTCGAGTTGTGCAAGCCTTGTGGCTCTGGCTGGCTTCGGCTGCAGACAGGTTCTCTCTCTCTCTCTCTCTTTCTCTCTCTCTCTCTCTCTTTCTTTCTCTCTCTCTCTCTCTTTTCTATGCTGATTTGGGGTTCAACCCGCCTCCTCAATTGGTTGTTAGACTTCATTATGGACTTGGTTGTCTTGGTTTGGAATTTCTCTGTTGGCAAGCTTGGTCTATCTCCAGATCTGCTGACTAAGACCAATGCGCTGCCACCCGCCTTAATCATTGTGCAGAACTGCTGTAGGCCTTGGATGCTTCGTGGCCGTTCTGGGTTATGTCGGGGCATTGGTATCGCCGTTGCTCCACTTGACGCGAGGCCCAGTGAAGGTATTTTTGATCCAGTCCGGTGGCCTAGACGGACCCTATACATCCCCAGAACCCCCATGATCCCATGAAGGCCACGCCTGTGAGCCAAGTGCGGAAGAGATCCATGGTGAGCATCGATGCCAGGAGAAATGCACTGATGCCTTCCGCAAGGCTGGGACCATGGGCCGAGATTGCACAAGAAACGATTTTGATGGATTTTGGTAATTTTTGCAATCAGCACCCCGAAATTGTGCGTTTGGCGCGTGACCCAGCCCAAGGCACATTTCAGTGGTGGGCGCTGGAGACTTGTCCGACAAGGGTAGAGATTTTTTTGTGCCAGCATGGGCAAGTCGAAGGAACAAATAGTCTTATTCGTATATAAAAATACTTGGGAGAATTTGCGCGTTTGACAGCAACTAGTAACTAGGAACTATGATGACCCCGTGCAAGATTCCTCTCCAGCAGCCAGCTCTGCACCAGTCTGAGCAAGAAGCGGTGATGAATTGTGAGTGACAGGTTGAAGCGAATCAAATCTGCATGAATTACTAGGCGCTCCTGGCATCGCTACTAGGAGCAAGGACGCTATTAGGGGCTCCTGGCCGTACTACCAGGAGCAAGAGGACGCTACTAGTAACAAGAAGCTACGGACTTTGAGCTTTGTCTTGTTTAGGCTGTTGCGCAGTGGGCTGAGTACTTCAGGACGACCTGCCTGCTTTCACGTCTTGCCATCGGGATCGCTTCAGTCTGTTTTTCGGTATTACAGTATTTGCCGACTTGTACCTCATCAGCCTTGTTTCCTATGATAGGGTCGAGCCAAAAGCCCATTTGCTGCTTTCCCCTTTGCCTTGCTACTGTGGCATGAGAGGAGCATTGATTGCTTCTGTCTTCCAGATGAGTGATCCTGACCTTATTGTTGTCCAGGTTTCTCTGAGATTGAGTGGGCACGCTGTGTTCTCAGGTACACCTTCTGCAAGAGGAGTGGGTTTGATGGTGAGGAAGTTTGTGCGGCCATGAGCTTATCATTGAGTTTTGTTTGCTTGCATGCATGTTGTTTGACTTTGTCACGAAGTATGTCTATGACCAAGAGGAAGCCATTATGAAGCTCAAAGCCAAGCTTCGAGAAAGACTTAATGAGGCTGCAGGGTCCAGGGTCTGGCAGGGTCTGCCAGCCATAACGGGAAACAAGCGAGCTTTCTGGTGAGTGCTTGGCCTTCAAAGTTGAAGTGACTCTTTAGATTCATTTCTGCATGCTGTCCATGAGCCCGCTATCTCCGACGTTTGGTGGGGCCCCTGCGCAGGGCTTGCCTGCTCGAACAGAGAATGGGATAAGTCTTTCACAATTTCAGTGGCTGGGGGCCCTGCCTTTGTAGATAGACTGGCTTGTGGAGACTTGCTGCGAATTGATTCAGTGGACACGCAGCAATGTACTCCCACACCTTGTTGTCACCCCCAGGTTTTCGGCACTCTCTACTTTGTGCAGCATCATCAATGACCAGGCAAGAGGGCACAAACATGCACAAACAGGTGGGTGATCCAGACACATGGAGAAAACATGTGTGTGGCTCTGTGTGCGAAACAGCTTCCAAGATTCAGCGAAGGATCAGATTAAAGTGAAATGCGAAAGGTGCACATGAAGCTCGCAACCACCGCGTCAGGAAACTGTGGCAATGTCTGCGATCTATATCCATGCCGGTGCTGTGGCTGGTGGCGTGAACGAGCTGAAGTCGGTCCTTCTCCAGTTAATGCATCCAATGAAGTCGAACGCTGAGCTGAAGCTACAGCAACTCAACTTGTTTTTGTGTCTTTTTCTCATTGCTAAGGCGGCAAGAGGCCTTTGACCCTGAAGACTTTCACCGGAGGCAGCGGTGTACATTATGGCCAATTATAGCCTGGTTTGTTGCGGTTTTCAGCTTCAGGCTGTGCACATCTCCTTTAATTGAGATGCCTGGACAGGTTGTTGGTTGCAGTGGGCATTGTTGCCCGCTTTGTTGTGCGACATGATCTTTCAGAAGATGACGCATCCCAGGTGGAGTTGGCGTTGTTCATGACCACATGCTCATGCCGCATGCCGAATATAATATAGCGTCCAAATCTCCAAGCAGCTGTTGCTATAGCGGGTTCATATTAACTATGGTCAATGTGTGCTTTGGCACGCCTTGTGTTCTCGTTGGTCAACCGGCGCAAAATCAGGGTAAGCAGCGTAAACAGCGTAGGCAGCGTAACCAGTAACCAGCGTAGCCAGCGTAGCCATCGTAACAGCATTGTCTGCATCCAGCGCGACCACAACCACCGCCAGCGTACCAGCGCAGAATCGGTCGTGGACACGCTTTGCCATGTCGCTCTGTTGTTTGCAAGGGTCGGCCAAGTTGCCTGCGCCTGTGACTAAGCATAGTGTCGAACTGAGAGCCGCCGATGGATCCTCAAGAAACATGTGCACCGAGCGAACGATTGGGATGGACGCCTTGGCAATACGGAGTGTAAAGACTTCTAACTCAATCACTAAGTACTAAGAACATGGCAAAGTTCTACGCTTGCATTCTGTGAGGACGTGTTTTGGATTTTTGAACAATTATGTTCCAACTGGTTGTCCGTCACTATAGTATACTATAGTAGGATTATATATGACGTGCTGTTCGTAGAACACCGTATGTCACGAGACGACCGTTGAGCGTTTGGCGCAAGCTACCCCTTTCAGCAGGGTTTGGGGTCTAGCTGCGCCTCCCATGGATGCAGCCGATGACATGGCCCTGGTGTGCAGTCTTGCCGGACTGACGGCGGACGAAGCCAGGGCCATGGAGCAGGGCGGCTGGTCGGTGACGCGCCTTGCAACGCTAGAGGGCTGCGAGAAGGAGATCCTCGAGGCAGCAGCTGGACACCTTTGACCTCGAGGTGGGAAAGTTGAGGGACCTGGTGAACAGGTCTAGCGTCCGGGCTGAGACTCGGCACGCCTGGGATGCGAAGAGGGGATCCCAGGATCTACTTGACGCACATGTGGCACATCAAAGAGAAGTCAGGAGGAGGGTCTTCGGCGACTTGGTGTCCGAGGATGTCAAATCACGGGTTGAACTCGTGGGCTCCGCGAAGAGAGCGCGATGGCCGACACGGCTAAGCATGAAGCTGCATATAGCGTCCAGTGACCTGGCGCTGAGGGAGCTCGCGGAGAAGCAGGAGCGTGACAGGTGGATCAAGGACATCCGGGACATTGTCAAGTCCGCAAAGTTGCCGGTCTCCTTGCGGTCGAGCCAGGAAGCCATGCTGATCCGCGTGGCCAAGGGCAGACGCCCCAACACGCTCCGCAAGCACGTGAAAACGTGGGCAAAAGCGGCTCGATGGCTGAATGCGACTTTCAATTGCATCTGGCCGGAGTCACCGGAGCAGTTCGCCGAATTTCTGGAGGCTATGGTAGAAGAGCCCTGCTCGAGGAGTTTCCCAGAATCAGTGTTCAAGACGTTGATGTTTCTCGAGCACGCAGGTGAAGTGCCGGAGCATGAGCAAGTGTGTAGATCTCAAGCCGTGAAGAACGCCCTTGAAGAGTCGATCCTTCGACTACAAGGGGTCGAGATCAAGGCAGCGCGAAAGGCGCTGCTGCTGCCAGTGGCTCTAGTGGTGGCGCTGGAGACGTACGTCTGCGATGAGAAGATCGCGAACTACGACAGGGTTTATGCCTGGTTCAGGCTCTTCAAGCTATGGACAGGCATGAGGTTTGATGATACAAAGGGCACCCCGAACAGAACGATCGAGATGACTGAATGGGGGCTGAAGGGCATCATCAGCCGCTCCAAAACATCTGGCCCAGGCAAGAAGGTTGTGATCCTCCCCTTTTACATCCACAAGGACGCCTGGATCTGCGAGGCGTCCTGGCTTACAGTGGGTTGGAAGCTGTGGGCATCTATGGGGGTGGAGTCAGGTATGCAGTCTCGTGACTTCATGCTGCCATGGCCGAATAACAATCGCACGGGCTTCATCAAGAAAGTTGTGGACTACCCGATTGCATCGGCGATGTCACAGGCGCTCTTCAACGAGATGACCGTGGGAAAGGGCAATGACAGGAGGACTGTGCTGGAGCCGGGGCTTGGAGTTCTGTGGACAGAACACAGCGAGCGGGCAACGATTCGTACATGGGCACAGGCGGCGAGGATCCCGGAGGATGTCAGAAAGATGCTGGGCAGGTGGCAGCCATCGGCAGACGAGGGGTACGAGAGAAACCTTCGTACCAACGTCCTCAGGTGCCAGAAGGTGCTGGCCGCATTCATCAAGCAGAACATGTCCTGTTCGGACCCCTTTGATGAGACAACAGTTGTGCAGCTGGTGGAGCAACGCATGCAGGGCATGGGCTATGGCCAAGAGGAGTGCGACCAGCAAATGATGAGGCTAATGAGCTTCATGCCAGGCGAAGGGGCAGCGAAACCTTGCCGGAGGCCGACCTGGACCACTTCGGGCCCGGTGGTCTTGGTGGAGGATGCAGAGGACATTGTCGAGGTCAAGGTGGAGCCAGAGGCGATGGGCGGACTGGAGGACAATGATGAAGAGGTGCTGGTGGTGCCTTCAGAGATCACGCCGCTTGAGAGCGTGAAAGGCATGTATGTCGTCTCTGTGGTGGGGCGGTGCAAGACCAAAACGCTTCACCGGATCGGGGAGTGCCATAGGCACTACGCCCATTTCGAGGTACTGGGAGAAGACACTCCCAGTACGGGCAAGTATCATAAGGCATGTAAACAATGCTTCGGTAGAAAAGATGCCGTGGCAATGAATTCCGTCGAAGAGGAAACTTCGGGGGAGGTCTCGTCATCAGAGATGACGGACTCGGATCGTGAAGGCTCGGAATGAGAACGAAAGTACAGTAAGATTCCGGGCAGCAGATACCGCGCATGGCAGAGCGTGGCAATAAGTGCACCTTTTCGGACGAGCCGGGAGGGGGAAGGAAGTGCCACGTTTAGATTGGCAGTCCAAAGATGAAGAGACCACTCCGTCTAGAGCTAGGAGGGTTGTCAGAGAGAGAGGGGGAACGAGTCGTCGAGTCGTGTCGTTCGTGTTGTAAAGGCATAAAGGTATTACAGGTGCTTGGCTTGTTCTGGACTCTCTGCTGTGCATGAGTTGTGCTGTTTGTGCATGTTGAACTTTGATGAGAATAAATCCATGCCTGATCAGGTGGATGACGATGAGCTTTTGGGCCCTAGCGATTGGGCGGACGCGCCGGCGGAACGGTGGGCCGGTGCGGTGAGGGGTCGTGATGGCCGGGATCGGTCACGACACGGATGAGAGGCGTAGAAACGCCATAGCGCTACTAGATGCGGATCTTCACGGACTTCTTCAGGTGAAGGAGGTTGAGGATGTGCTTCAAGCCAAGCTCTCAGTGGCTCGTGTAAGGAGCATGAGCCGGATGAGCACGGTGGCGGATGACAGGCCGGGCATGAGGAGATTCTGCGTTGATGTGCTCGGGCTTGAGGAAGCCAGGGACGTGGTCGAGATAGCGTCCCTGGTAGATGCTTGGGAGTCGGCGAGCACTCGCGTTACAGTCAGAAACAAGGCTGAGGCAGAGGCAGGGGTGGCCAGCTTGCCGCGCGCCCTGAACAAGGTAGAAGTCCAGGATTTGCTCGTCAAGTTCCAGTCCGTGTTCAACGTCAAGTTGGAGGACAGAAATACTCCGGCGGCATCAACGCTGGAACAGGTGTTCGACCAGATCGAACAGGGCGAGATGAAGAACATGAGTCTCGTTCAGTTCCTCAGCAGGGAGGACGCAGAAGCAGACGTGTTGGGAGCAATGGTTGAGAAGAGCACGGGCGCCCTGAAGATCAAGAAGGGTTACGGGGAGTGTCCAAAGCCTCGTAACCCGGAAGAGTTTCGCAAGAGGATGGCAGTTGTGGCACATTCATACTTGCTGGCACAGTTGAAATACCCACAAAAGGCAAGCTTGCGCGATCTTCAGCCCCAGCACTTTCTGAAGTACCTCGACTTGATGCTGGGTGATCATGTCCTTGGCCTCAAGGCCAGGGACAAGGACGGTGCAGTGGTGGCAACGCCAGAGTTCGATCTCATGCTGTCATACGACTACCAGGTACGGCGTCAGATGGTGAAGCTCATCAACGAAGGTGCCACCATGGTAGATGCGTTGAAAGAGGCCATGACAGATACGGTCATCAAAGAAAGATACTTCCTCACGCCCAATGTGTACTCCCAGGTTTCAAGTGCAAGCTCCACACAGGGGGACAAGCGACTACAATCGATCGCGTAGCCCACCTGGGAGATGGCATCCCTGGCACGATGACCGGGCTGATAGATATGATTCCTCGAAAGGCAAGGGAAAGGGCAAGAAAGGAGGAGGCAAGTCCAAGAACCGCAAAGGAAAGCAAGTGCACGACAAGACACCGGATGGCAGGCAGATTTGCTGGAAGTGGAACAATCCGAAGGAGAGGTGCCGATTTCAATGTGGGCGCCTTCATGTCTGCCAACTATGCTTCGGAAGTCATCCCATGCATGCATGTGACGGTTCAGGCAAGAAGGATAAGGCTGGTACGGCAGCCGAGGCTTCCAAGTCGAATTGAAGCAGCACAAAGGGGGAGGCAGCCCCACCTCCTCCGGTGGCACAGGGCACCACGAGGGGCACACGAGTCTGTCAGGTTTTGTACCTGTTCAGCGGAGCACAACGAAAGGCCTCCGTCGCTTCCTTCCTTCGTGATCTGGCGGCGGACACATGCCTCTCATTTGAGATACAAGAGGTCGATATTCAGAATTCACCAACTGGTTTGGCCGCGTGATCGGGGTGGTCGTCCGGTCCTGTCATCGCATCATGGGCCGTCACATGGGTTTGCTGCATTTGATTTATGCTGATGATGGCTGGTTGACGGCTATGGGGACGCGGTTCTGGAAGAAGATTCTGATGTGGCTGTTCTTGTATGAACTCCTCGAGATACCCATCACGTGGAAGAAGGTGCGTGGTGGAGCCGAGGTAAACTGGATTGGCTACTATCTGAATGTGGCGACCTTCGAACGTGGCATCAATGAGTCGAAGAGGGCCTGGATCTTGAGCTGGGTTCGAGACAAGTTGCAGCAGGGAGGAGTCGTCGGCCGAGAGCTCAAGTCGGTGCTTGGGAGGCTATCCTTTGTGGCTGGGGCCCTACGACACGTACGGCCTTTCCTGGCTCCGCTCTTTGCTTGGTCGGCCACACTTGCAGGGGGGACCTTCGCGAAGTTCCCAGATGCCGTGATCATTTTGCTTGAGTATGTCAGCGAGGAGGTCGCCAGAAAACCAACACGTCCACTGGAGCCGCTGAGGTCTAGTCCGTTGGACATCTTCAGGGTGGACGCCAAGGCAGCGGGGGAGGAGATTGTTATTGGAGGATGTGAGACCTGGGAGCAGAGGCCCCAGGCCCAGTCGCGCTGGTTCTCTTTTTACCTCAACAGGAAGAACGCGCCGTGGGCCTATCTTCGAGGTGATCCTTTCCGTGCAATAGCTAGCCTCGAGCTCATCGGCGTGCTCGCAGCTGTGATGGTCTTCGCTCCGGGGGCCAAGTGGGCGTCCGGCGAGGCGAGGGTATCGTTGACAGCGCTCACCGATAATCTTGGCAATACCCATGTTCTCCGAAAGTTTGGCAGCAGCCGTTATCCCCTCAGCATCATAGCTATGGAGCTGGCATCCCAGCTGGACCGGCTGGGCATCGACCTGGACTTACAGTGGGTTCCCAGGTGGCAGAACCAGGAGGCGGATGACTTGACAAACGAGCGCTTTGATGACTTTCATGAGGAGAACCGCATTGCTGTACGATTCGAGGAGCTTCAATTCCTTGTCATGAGCCGCCTGCTCGAAAAGGCGGGGCAGTTAGACGAGGAGCTCAAGCTCTACAAGACCTCGAAAGAAGCGAAGCTCGCGAAGCTGAAGGCCGACCTGACCGACAAGAAGTCCAGAAAAGGTCAAATGCGATGGCAAGATCCTTGGTGAAGAAGGCGGGAGTCGTCCGATCGTCGGTGTTGGGGGTGTTTTCTCCTCACGTACGTTAGGTAAGGCTAGAGTGGGGCAGCGCGGGCCTCGCTGCAGACTAAAGTGTGGGGAAAGGCAGAGAGGCCGGGACAGGGCTCCTGGGAAGAGACCCAGGGGCATAGGTGAGACCCGGTCTCTTTCAGCTACTTACTGAATGAACAGTGAGTAGGCCGTCTCACGCAACTCGTCAGGCTTTGCGCAACCAAAAGTGAGGCTTCTGCGTGAGGGAGTTTAGTGACATACAAATATATATGCACGTATATATATATATATATATAATACTCCTCCTTTTGCACGCTGTGTGGTGTCCCTCGCCAGAATTATGCATTGGTAGCCGCCATGCGTGCGTTTCCACCTGGCCTGGCCTGTGATTGCACGAAGGTTGTGAAGTACGTCATCTCTTTGTTTCCCTGCGGTGCTGTGGCCCCACCCTTTGTTGAAAGGGCTGATGGCAGTGCCGTCCTTAATTTCAATTTCGAGAGCCGGACACCATGTTTTCGGACATCGTGTGAGCTGAAGTTGTCCACTCCTTTTAGTTTGCGAGTGCCACATGTGATTTGTTATGTTTGACGGGTTTGCTTTCTTACTGTGTCTTGTGGCCAGCGCATTTTGACACAACCCAAGCTGCCCAAATTTGACGAGCGAAGCTCTCAACCAACTGTGCTGTGACAGTCATGGGTGGTGGTGCATCCAGCGAACACAAGAACATGATCGAGGGCAAGTCCCCTGAGGAGATCGCTGCCGCTTTGAAGGAGCTGCCGCCAGATCAACTTGCCAAAATTTGGGCCTGTGTGGACAAAAAAGATCCATGCCCTGGCCCGGTGGATTGTAGCACCATCACTGTCGTCGCAAAGGACTACAAGGGCATGTTGGCCCAACCTTCGGCACCCAAGTATAAGGGAGCTTTAGCTCAGATTTATGTCCGAAGCCAACCGTATGGAGGCTCGGACAAGAGCAACAATGGTCATCGCTACGATTCCATTCCAATTGTCAATGGCATGATCACTGCTGGAATGAGCTGCCAACTGATCCACTACACGCACGAGGAGCACGACAAGTTCTTCGAACTTTGCAAAAGTTTCGATTTCATCATCGTGCGTTGCAACCCCGGGCAAATCAAAGCCGATGGAGGCGACCAGCAGAAGTTTGATGATGGCATGCGTGCATTGAGGAAGGCAGGCAAGCAAGTTTGGCCATCGCCCGATGTGATGGAGAAGATGGGTGCCAAAGATGCATTGTGCAAGGTGGCCACAATGAACATTGGTTTGGAGGACACTCTTGCCTACTACAGTCCAGAGGAGTTTGAGGCTGGTTTCAAGAAGACCATGGCTTTTCAGCCTCGAGTGATCAAGCAGAACCGTGGCTCCTCTGGAGAAGGAATTTGGATCATTAAGCTGAAGGATGAGAACTATTGCAAGGAATATGGGGAGAGGTCCTGCGAAGATGGGGAAAAACTAATGCTCATGGAAGCCAACGACAACCATGAAGAGGAGCACACCGTTGGTGAGTTCATCGAGTTCTGCGTGAAAGGCCGTACGGACAAATCCGGAGAATGGACATCCAAGGGAGTGGGCAAGTACTTGGAAGGTGGCAAAGAAGCTGGAGGACAGCTGGTGGATCAGCGCTTTTGCCCGCGCATTGTTGAAGGTGAGCTGCGCTACAATCTCATCGGTGATTCGCTGATCGGCGTCATCCACAAGAAACCAAAGGAAGGAGGAATCTCCGCAGTTGGCGGAACAGGTTCGATCTATACTTTCTATGGTCCTGATGAGCCTCTTTTCACGAATTTGACTGAAAATTTCCTCAAGAAAGACCTGCCCCACGTCATGCCTTCTTTGGACTTGGCCGATGAGCCGTTGCCGCTTTGGTGGACCACGGACTTCATCAATGCATCGCCACCAGGCACTGCAGCCGAGGAAGAGAAGTGGATTGTGGGCGAGTTTAATTGCTCATGTGTCGGCATCTCCCGCTGCTTGGCTGCCTACTGCAAGGATGACACCCCCAATGCAAGCTGGGATGACATCTCAGAGGAAGACAAGGCCGAAGCCAAAAAGATGGGCGACTTGATGGGCGAGAAGGCCTTGGCGATCCTCTCCAAGTGACCCTGTTTGAGCCTGAATTGCTTGGCGTGCTGCATGTACAGCCTTCGATCTTCGATCATTTGTGATCTCACGGAACCTTGTAACATCTTGCAACGACACAAAGTAGTCGGACGTTGAACTGATTGGGTCGATCCAAAAGGACCAAGAATTGCTGTGCGGCCCTGTGATTTCACCTCCCACTGGCTTACTATATAGCACTTACATCAATGTTGGATTCGTTTGGGAAGTTGCCTTGCAGAGGCAAACTGCCGGTGGTGTGTGGTCAGAATCAGCTCTTTCATCAGGCTGGACTGATTGGTGTTTCAGTGTGATTGGGTGAGATTTTGCAGTGAGAGCAAAGTATCCATTCAATGTGAACATCATTCGAGTCGACCACCGATGTTTGATGCATTGTCACTCGTCACTCGCCATTTTCTTTGCTGATACTTTCAGCCTTCAATGGCTCACTGTCACTTGTTCAAACTTCAGTTTTCCTAAAAATCTAGGAACCAAATCATTAGCGCGAGCGATCCTGCGAAGTCTAAGTGAATAGTACTGTAGCGACTTAAGCTACAAGCAGTGCTACTAGCTACCTAGCTACTACCTACCTCACCTCCTAGCGGCCTACCCCCACCGGGGCTAAAACAAGTTTGACCCATTCAAGCACTCCGTGCACCAGGGCTTGCATCGCTCCAACGCCTTGGTTTGCTACTCAGCCTTTCCAAATGGAGTGACATCATGTCCGATTTTTGTTCGACCGATTGGTACGTCACATCTTTCCTTCTTACAGCTCTTTTACGCTGTTGGATCGACCGGGCTTTAAAGACTCTTGGCTGGGCTGTTGATGCCAGGTTCGAACCGTTGATGCTGGCTGGCTGCAGCACATCAGCGAATGGCTCCAAGGTGTGGATAGTTGCTGTCGTCCTCACAGAATGGCCGCATGTTGCCAGGAGGTGTCACCTACGCGTGGCCAGGGGAGTTGCCAAGCTTCACTAAATTTGGCCTGTTTTGTTGATGAATTGAGGGGATGATTATCCACTGAACAGTCCACTGAACAGCAGGAGAGGTGTACTGTACAGGCCAGTGCAGTGAGGAAAGGTGAGGATGACCCACCTATTGACAAGGAGCTTGGACCAAAGTTCAACTTTTAGTATGTTGACACTAGTCAGTAAGGTTTTGTTTTGACCAGGTTCACTTGCAGCGAAAGCCTGGCACAGGCCGGAAATGACCAACATAGTGATGTGTGTGTGTGTGTGTCCACCCCTGGACCAAGGGTTTCGTCCAACCGATCCACC